AGACCTCATACAGCAATTCAGTAATGTGGCAGGATACAAAATCAATGCACAGAAATCAGTTGCTTTCTTATACACTAACAATGCAACTGTAGAAAGAGAAATTAGAGAAACGATTCCATTTACAATAGCACCAAAAACCATAAAATACCTGGGAATAAACCTAACCAAAGAGGTAAAGGATCTATACTCTAGGAACTACAGAACACTCATGAAAGAAATTGAAGAAGACACAAAAACATGGAAAAACATTCCATGCTCATGGATTGGAAGAATAAACATTGTTAAAATGTCTATGCTGTCCAGAGTAATCTATACCTTCAACATCACCCTGATCAAAGTTCCAATGACATTTTTCAAAGTGCTGGAACAAACAATCCTAAAATTTGTATGGAATCAGAAAAGACCCCGAATCACCAAGAAAATGTTGAAAAAGAAAAACAAAGCTGGGGGCATCATGTTGCCTGATTTCAAGCTATATTACAAAGCAGTGATCACCAAGACAGCATGGTACTGGCACAAAAACGGACATATGGACCAATGGAACAGAATAGAGAACCCAGATATGGACCCTCAACTCTATGTTCAAATAATCTTCAACAAAGCAGGAAAAAATATGCAATGAAAAAAAGACAGTCTCTTCAATAAATGGTGCTGGGAAAATCGGACAGCTATATACAGAAGAATGAAACTCGACCATTCTCTAACACCATACACGAAGATAAACTCAAAGTGAATGAAAGACCTCAATGTGAGACAGGAATCCATCAAAATCCTAGAGGAGAACATAGGCAGTAACCTCTTTGATATTGGTCACAGCAACTTCTTTCAAGATACATCTCCAAAGGCTAGTGAAACAAAAGCAAAAATGAACTTTTGGGACTTCATCAAGATAAAAACCTTCTGCACAGCAAAGGAAACAGTCAACAAAACAAAGAGGCAACCCACAGAATGGGAGAAGATATTTGCAAATGACACTACAGACAAAGGGCTGATAGCCAAGATCTATAAAGAACTTCTCAAACTCAACATCCAAAAAACAAATAATCAAGTCAAAAAGTGGGCAGGAGACATGAACAGAAACCTTTCAAAAGAAGACATACAAATGGCTAACAGACACATGGAAAAATGTTCATCATCATTAGCCATCAGGGAAATTCAAATCAAAACCACATTGAGATACCACCTTACACCAGTTAGAATGGCAAAAATTGACAAGGCAAGAAACAACAAATGTTGGAGAGGTTGTGGAGAAAGGGGAACCCTCTTACACTGTTGGTGGGAATGCAATTTGGTACACCCACTTTGGAAAACTGTGGAAGTGCCTCAAAAAATTAAAAATAGAGCTACCCTATGACTCAGCAATTGCAATCCCGGGTATTTACCCCAAAGACACAGATGTAGTGAAAAGAACAGAAGAGCCATGGCAGCAATGTCCACAATAGCTAAACTGTGGAAAGAGCCAAGAAGCCCTTCAACAGATGAATGGATAAAGAAGATGTGGTCCATATATACACTGGAATATTACTCAGCCATCAGAAAGGATGAATACCCAACTTTTACATCAACATGGTTGGGACTGGAGGAGATTATGCTAAGTGAAATAAGTCAAGCAGAGAAAGTCAATTATCATATGGTTTCACTTATTTGTGGAACATAAGGAATAGCATGGAGGACATTAGAAGAAGGAATGGAAAAATGAAGGGGGGAAATCGGAGGGGGAGACGAATCATGAGAGACTATGGACTCTGAGAAACAAACTGAGGGTTTTAGAGGGGAGGGGGAGAGGGGGATGGGTTAGCCCCAAGATGGGTATTAAGGAGGGCACGTATTGCATGGAGCACTGGGTGTTATATGCAAACAATGAATCGTGGATCACTACATCAAAAACTAATGATGTATTGTATGGTGACTAACATAATATAATAAAATAAAATAAAATTTAAAAAAAATTAAAAAAGAACTTAAAAAAAGAATCATAAAAGAAAAATATTATCTAGTGATTATTAATGCTTGATTATGGACCATAAAAAGCCCTGGAGCACAAGACTCAATGTAATATAGCAGCCAACCTATAGGCTATAGCTCTACTATGGATCCAACTCTACTTGGATTACTTCCTTGGAAGAGATTCATGGTAATATTATTTAATTTGCACTTCTTAACTTGAGAGACATACCAAATATTAGTATCACTCAAATAAAATTTGATATTGGTCACAGCAACTTCTTTTCCAATCTCTACATAGAGTATCACTCAAAGGAAACACAAATTCCCAGAAGTTTGAAAAACAATTCCACCTGTGGTTGTCCAGTTTGGAGTTATTATCATTTTTAGCCATTTTAAGGTAGCATGAGAAAGTTGGAGGTTTCTAACCTGATGAAATTCTAGGCAATCCTGACCCTCCTTTTTTTTAACCTCAAATAAGATTATTTATCAATTGTCAAACTTTGATTAAGACTTGAATAAGTTTATAATGATATTGTCTGAAATAAAAATAAAGTGTATGGCCATATCAGCATGCTATTTACACATATCTTGATCAACCAAGAAGCATAAAGAGAATATAGTTGCAATTGAGCTCTCACAGTGCATAAAATGCTTTGTATAATATACAGGAAAGCACTTTGAAACTACCTATATGCTATTTAGGTGACAATGACAGCTAAAATTTGGCTCATATCCTGTCACTTCCTCTAGTAACTTAACACCCATCAAGTACTTACCCTAAATTAGGAAAAAATCATTCTTTTTCTTGCCTCCCATTCTTACTTTATCTTCTGAAATAGGTGATTTACCCTCTTGCAGACTTCTTATAGAATGAGGATCCATTTAACTGACTGGAGAGTTGGACAGAACCTCTCACTCTTTTAACCACGGTAACCTTGGGAAGGAGCCCTTGCATTCAAGGCAAAGAAGGTTGTCATCACATCCCTGGCTCTCATTCATTTGCAATTCGGGAAGTTTGAGGGAGAATGACATCTCCCACATGGCTGGTTGAGTATCTCTTTTTAGACCTAACTCTTCCTATAAATAAGTCCCAGAGTCAAGCAGGATTTAAGTGGAGGAAGTGGTAGGAAACTTATGCTGTCATTGGACCCAAGCCATGCTCACCAATTTACCATTACCATTAATGTTAATCTTTTCCCCAATCTGACTTCTTTATGTTTCAATTGGTCAAGGACCTGTAGAGACAGAGGACTAAGAACAATTCAGCTATCAGATTATATTTTTTGTTCAGTTTCTACCTCATTCATCTATGCTATAAGCAGTAATGAGCAGTAATGGAATCTTTCTCACCATGTCACTTCAGAACCTAACAAACTCGTAGGTGCCTAATATGTGGTGATAGATTGTTTGCAGATAAAGCGATTCCCATGGAACGTTTACCTTGACTAACTTCAGAATAGGGCCTGATCTTAAAGATCAATCCCCAGAACTTGCTTTTGAACCTGTAACTTGATTTCTAACACAGGATTTTCAGTTCCTGTGTTCTCAAATTCAGGGCAAACATTCTATAAAGTAGTAATGTTTTCTTTCTCACATGCCATTTTTACTTTCTGGGCTGGGTGGTGAGGCTCTTCCTGTTCCTGCTTAAAATAGAACTTTCCAAATGAGTCTGTCATGAATGACTTGGCTTCCTGCCACACCTGACTCCTGGTGGGGACATGTGGGTTCATCAAGGCTAAGCTTCACAAATCATCTGAGTTTCTTGTGAAAAAAAGCAGGTTTTTATTTAGTAGGTGAAGACTGAAATTCTACATTTCTTTTTTTTTTTAAGATTTTATTTATTTATTCTTCAGAGACAGAGAGAGAGAGAGAGAGAGAGAGAAGCAGAGGGAGAAGCAGGCTCCCAAGGAGCAGGGAGCCCGATGTGGGACTCGATCCCAGGACCCTGGGATCATGACCTGAGCCGAAGGCAGATGCTTAACCATCTGAGCCACCCAGGCGCCCTGAAATTCTACATTTCTAACAACTCTCCAAGGATGCCCATTCTACCAATTTGAGGGCCATCCTGTAAGTAGCAAGGGGTTAGATGACCCGCTTCACAAACAATATCATCCATTCTTTAAACATTATTTAATTCTACTATGTGTCAAACACTGGGATAAGATACTAAAGAGAAACATAACCTAATCCTGACTCATAAGAAGCCCAGAGTCTAATATGGCAGCAAACCTACAAATAAATGCTATAAATGATGTCCATTAAGAGAATGAAAACACAAGCCACAGAAAATAGTTGCACAAGCCATATTTGATAAAAGATTTTTATCCAAACTATACAAATAACTCTTAAAACTCAACAATAAACAGACAAGCAACCCAATTTAAAAAATGGGCAAAAGACCTGAATAGATACCTCACCAAGAAGATACATGGATAGCAAATAAGAATATAAAAAGATGATCAACATCATATGTTAATAGGAAATTGCAAACTAAGAAAAAGAGATATTACTATACACCTATTAAAATGGACAAAATCCAGAACATTGACAATACCAAATGCTGATGAGGATGTGGAGGGACAGGAACTCTTATTCATTGCTAATGGGAATGCAGAATGGTACAGCCACTTTGGAAAACATTTTGACAGTTTCTTACAAAACTAAACATACTCTTACCATATGACCCAGCAATCATGTTCCTTGGTATTTGCTCAAACCTGATCAAATAAACCACATATACCGAATTGGCCTCTACACTGGGAAACCTGATTTAAATGATCTGGGGTGTTTTTCAATGGTGAAAATTGTAGAGCCTATATTCTGGATCTTCTGAATGAGAATTTCTTAGTGCTAGGAGTTGGTAATCTGAAGTTTATCAAGTTCTGGAGGCTGTTTTTAAGTACCATTAGGCTTGAGAATCACTTTTCTACTTCATGTCCACGCATTTTTTTTTAGTACAAAAGCCAATACCAAATTGATTCCAAATAAGTTGTAATAACTTTATTATTCATTACCTTATTATTAGTGAAATAAGCCACGCAAATAATACTGAAATAGGTTTATTTGGGAAATACATATATAATTCTGACATTTTATTAAGAAGCAATAAAAACATAAGTGGTTTGGAATTTTGGCAGCACGGTACAAATGTAAGAATAAATCATTGTAGAGGTAAAATCATTATCAACATTATCTTTACTATAAGACAAGCTAAGAATATCCTAAACAATAGACAAAAATATTTTGTTGCTTAAATTTAAGAAAATTATGAAGGAACTGTTCAGCTGTGTGTTTATCTGATAAGGGCAGCTAAATGTATCCTCCCCATACTTCCTGTTTCTATATTTAAGAATACCGCAAACAGTTATTCTAATATATCTTTTGTACGTAGTTGCTTATAAATGCAGCTTGGCTGAAAGAGCCTACCTAGAACCAGTTGCTCAAATTTCCAGGTATGGCACTATCATACTGGCTTGATAACAGTGAGTCTAAAGCAATACCCACAATCCCAATCTAAGGAGCACAATCTTAATGCCAGTGTTGTTCCAGAAGAAAAGCTCCACCACAAACTCCCAGTTTTATCTTTATGGGATAAAAAATTTTGTGGGATATCATACTCCCATCGCCATAATTTCAAACACTATTTTCGTACATTTTCTGTAATGATCCATTTTTTCTAGTATTCTGAACTTTTTAGGAAACTGAAACAATTTTGTTGGTTTCTCTTTTTACCATTTCTGTAAGTCACTTAGTTTTCCTTCTATACACACACACACACACACACACACACACACCCCACATTCATTTGTGCAGCAGCTCACCTGTTTGTTCAAATGGATCCCAACCTTTGCTGTCCACTTTGTATGAGGTGTATTGCCTTATTTAGTAGCAGCACCTGAGAATCCTAATAGCCTCAAGCTGTTGAATAAAGTTGTAGGCTATTTCTGAAATAATTAGACTCAAGTACTCTGGAAATTCAGAAACTTTGAAACCATCTCCTCTTGCTGGACTCAAGTGGCTGCAACTACAGTATTTTAAAATGAATTGTTATGAAAGCGTACCACTTTGCTATGTATGATTTGCCCTGATTCCTTAGTAAGAAGAGCAGCAAGATACAGAAGTGCTTAATGAAAGTATGGCGACCTGTTTTGGCCAATGAAATATTCCAGACTTTTCGCTATTCCATTAACTGTGCTTTTCATTTGCTATCAGGTTAGCCATGATGCAGTTTAAGCTATCAGTCTGCACTTGCTGGATGATACTTTTTTTCACTAATTTTTATATTTATTTAGACAACCCCAAGTATATTAGTCTAGCAGCATTACGTCACATTTATATACATTAGTCCATGTGACCCAAACACTGAGTCACAACTTTGTTTATAAACGCACCACACATCAATAGTTCAATTACTACCTGTGTTTGCTTAGCAGTGTAACAGGGTCGATAAAACCATTTGTCAGGGATGGGCAACATCTACTCTACATTAGTTGGTGTATTCCACATCTTAATTGCACCATTTATCCTTCCCATTCTTTTCTTATATCAAGTCTAAAATGATTTCTTCTTTACATTTAAGAAACCCCAGTATGAGATGGACAGAGGAAAATTTCTCATCATGGAAGAATGACCAGAAATAAGCATACCATCGTTACTTTGTTGATGGTTAGTTAGTCAAATTGGGACATTCTTTCTTTGTCAAGAGAGTGTAGTGAACTAATCCAGATAACACAAATCTCTCTTGCCTACCTGTGTCTCTTATCCTCCAAAAAATATACTAACTTTGTACATTGGGTAAAATGTAGCTAAGTTTAAAAGTTCTACTACCCTGCTACTCATAATACCAGTCAGTTTTGGAGGGGAGGGTTTTTGTGTTGTTCAAGGCTATAATATAAAAAAGTTCCCTTGCAGTATTTTGGGAGAAATTTTAGTCACTTGTCCTATGGACCCTTAAGACCCAACACCAACATGAACCTCCTTGAAGTGAAACTTCTCAGGTCAAGGAATATTATTGGACATTTTGTTGGGCTCAGATAATGGTATTGACATGCTGATCATTCAGTGATCACTGTTGGAGATCAAGATCAAATTTAATTCCTCACACATATGGCTGCATATTCTGTAGGTGCTTCTTTCACATTCCTTGCTTGTCTTGGGTTTATTCCAGGGACAGAATGGTTCAGGGAGGCATAAACAATGCTCTGTTTGTTTTCCTCCAGACATGGGTTAGAATAAACTTCAGACTCTTCCTGGACCTTGAACCAGGGGTCATTATCATAAGTACAAGTTCCTGATTGCTCACTCCTAAAGGGCTGGGGAATATCAACCTATAAGAGAAAAAAAGATTGTTTTAACTACCACCTAAGGATGTGATAGTGCATACAATTAGCAAACTATAAGTAGATGCTAAATTGAGTTAATACACCAACAGAGATAATTTACTCTTCCTCACTTCTGCTGCTGACACCTACATCTGTAGCAGATTCTCACTTGTTGAAAGATGAAAGGCTTAGAACCACTGTGTTCCTCCCAAGTAGTTATTTTGTGCTCTTACTAGTCACTTTTGAAGTCACAGAACATTTCTAGCTCTACAAGAACCTTACCTGGTAAAAATGAAGATACCATTTTAATGCTAAGAGGTGTTATTTCAATTTTTAAGTACCAGTTTTGTCAGTCAATTTATGTTCTTGAAGTTTGGCCTAACTCCTTGAAGGCATGAAGTCCACTGTCTTTGACAGTCTACATGCCTTGTCAGGTCCTTTGTCGTCCTCATTTGGTATGTGAAGTAGTACATCTCCTACCCCTCCTTGGCAGAATTCTACCACAAATTATTGTCTGGCCCTATCCCGAGAAGCTAAGTATTAGCTGCTGAGCATCCTGCTTCCCTCTGATGAGGTGGCTGCCCAGAAAATAACACTAAAGCTGAATGATTGAACGAAGCAGGAATCGCTTTACCCTCCCCAGTCTCTTGACTCAGCTGAAAAGTGCCCCAACCTCCATTCGAAGGAGCCTGGTTAAAGTCTCCAGAGAAGCGCTGAAGAATAAAACTGTCACATGACCTAATAAGTAGCCATAAATCCTCAATATGTCAACAAGATCCTTGTTGTACTTTTACAATATGTATGTCTGTCAACTCCCTTGTCCCTGTCAACTCTGTCTCCCTTCCCAAAAGATGGCTGGTTTCCATGGAAACCTTAATTAAAATGAATGAGGTTAAAGAAAACATGGTGCTCTGTGGCTGACTGTATCCCATGGCACCTCAGTCAAGTGGGCAGATGCCACAAGCTGGCATGCCACACTGTGGTTGATAGAGATGACAAACACCAAAGCAGCTATCCTACTCTATATTTGTATGGCATTTTGCAGTTTACAAAGCACTTTAAAAAAATACACAGCTCAGTGTTTTTTAGTATACCCTCCAGGGACCATTGTGGAATAAGACAAGAACCTTGGCTTTTATATGTACCTGCCATGTTTTTACCAGTTCCTTTCTCTCCTTTGGATTTCTATTCCACTGGTTCCAATGCAAGTACCTTCCTAAGAAAGCTTTAGTCTCAAAGATTTAATATTACACCACTTTATTTTCTGAAATGTTGGCCAACTCAAATGGCACAAAGCTCTGAGTTCCTGTGAAAGACACAGACATCTTAAAACAAAATTCCCGAATAATTACACACACACAGAATCCCTCTTGAATTCAACTTCAGATCATAAATAATTTGTCCAGCCTACACAGGAAGAACTATGACTACATTTTAACCAACCTGGGCTTAATTTAACAAGGAACTATTTAGATTATAATTTTAAATGGTTTCATAGATCTCAGTCCTGATGGTAACAGAATGTAGTTCATTGGTGTTCACTACAGGAAGTAAGAAAACAACATTTAAGAAAATTTTCCTGCTTGAAGAAACAAAACCTTAGCACCCAACACAATGTTGCCTATTGCCGCTTACTAAAAACTTAATATGAGTTTGAAGTTGAATGCATTTGGTTTGATTTAAAAGTGGGCAACCTGGTGGGGATGCTGAGTGTCACTTAATATTATATGTAAAATCATTGGCGATATCTGCCTTTGGCACTTCTGGAACTTTTGAGAAGGTTACTACATCTTTATCTCTACCCTTCTACCCTGAAACATGCACTCACACACAAAGCTCCTTTACAGTACCTTAATTATGACTATTTGCTTTTAACTAAAGAACTTCATAAAATGTTTTCAGAAATGTATTGCCTCAGCTTGCTTTTTTTTTTTTTTTGAGTTCCAATATTTACACAACATTGAACCCAAAAGAAAAAGCCTAATTTTATATTCCAAGAACTTGTAGGAAAACTTGGCCCTGCCTCCAAAATGCCCTAGGCTTTGCCTGGGAGGTCTCTTCCTTGATGAGCTCACACACATTATGAAAGACTTTTGCATAATAACTTTTTCCGGTCAAGTTTCTTTATCTGCTGGTGATCTAGGAGGAAATCACACATTATTTTATGAGATAATTTATGGTTCATTCTTTCATTAACTCTCAACTCTTTTCCAGAAAGACTTTAAGGTATTTTTTGTGAGAATAAATGAAGAACCTGAGGTTACATAACAGGCCAAGAGCAGAGCCAAGGTTTATAAAATCCACTCTCTGACTTTTCTACTTCTGGTCTGCACTGCCACTCATGCCTTTCCAAAAGGCCACTTATTATGAGTCTTGTTAATCCTGAAGAATCTTTGCTGCAGATGGAGGTAAATGTAAAATAAACACATTTTTTTAAAGCAAGTCAATATACGGAGAGCATTTGGACAGTTCCTGGCACAGGGTGAGTGTTACATAGCCTTATTAAATTTAAAATAATATATTAAGATGAACATGGTATAACATAGATTGCATTTGTTTTAACAAATACATAGAACATACCAGGTTAATTTCCCTTCCTGCAGTATCAGAAGGCTTCTTTTGTTCTGCTAGAATTGAAAAAGAAAAATAAGAAACCAAGAAGAGTAAAGAACAACACAAAATTCTTCCCCAATTCCCTGTAAGTTGAGGTTGTGGTAAGAATATGCGTTCTGGAATCTGATTGCTAGGTTGAAATTCAGTGTCTAGAGCAGAGGTGGGATGCCTCCCCACCCATGTCCACCCACTTGCATGGCATGGCAGTGTTATTACTAGTTTTGGCTTGTTTATTTGCTGTGACCAGCAAGGCACATACGCCTCAGTTTGTGTGCATTCATGCTGCTCCTTTTGTTCACTGGTTCTTTACTTCTTACTCCAGAGAGCCCTACAGCTTATCCAAGAGGAAGGGGCAGGATCTAGTACATCACTTTAAACACGCTGGAGATCCTTGTGCTGGGGATATGCTATACTCGATGTCAGACACACTGCTATCCCCTCACCTACAGAGGCCAGGATCTCCTCTGGCCCAGTTCACTCCAGATGTGGTAGGTCAAAGGATTTATCCCTGCCTCTTTTTCTAAAGTTTTCTGAAGCAGCCTCAATAAAGATGGTGAAAGCTGGGGAGGGACCACGGCAAGAGTCTTGGAGTTGCAGATGTAAAGTTAGGGTTACAGAGGATTCCCTCAGTATTCTGAGAAGGTTCTGGGCTCCGGAAGTCCTTACCACAAAATTCCAGAAGTACTTTTGCCCAGACAAAGCTTTCTCTTGTGGCAGAAATAAAGGATGCTCTGTCTAGCTTCATTTCTATAGCTACACTGCAGCTTCCAGTGTGGCAAATGGTGGGAGGAGATGGCAGAGGGAACAATAAAGACAGAGAGAGAGCTGGGGTGTTTCGGATTAGAGCGACATCAGCATTCTCCCCACACCTCTCTCTTACTCTGATTGTCTGCTCATGACTCTGAAGGAATTCGTAGAAAAGCAGAAAGGAATTGCTTCTAAGATGTCACACCTCTCCCATCCTAGCCAAACCCACATTTTTCAAGTGCTGTAATTTTGGGTGATGGTTCAATTCAGGCGCATGTTTATGATGGCATCAGAAAGTACAGACATAGGAATTTCCTTTGGGGACATTTGGTCTTCGTTTAGACAAGGGTGTGTATGATTGGCATGATGTGGTGTGGCTGTGAAAAAGAGAATGAGACTAATTCAAATTAGACATGTTGACCTGAGAGATTATTTTAAACCTCCCTTTCAATACCCTTAAAGTTTAGAAGAGCTGCTTGTCCCATTAACTTAAGATTGACACAAGTAGAATGGGTAAGTCCCAGCCATGTGCCCTCCTTATCACAACCCCTGCCTAGAGCACGGTGCTGTGGGGGCCGTGTCTCACCATGACTGGAAGGGACCTGAATTAATCCATCTGTCTTTCTGGTGGAAGGATGAGTTGTCCCCGAGGAAATCATTATCCGTGGTTCCTCACAGAATATTGGGAAAGAAAACAACAGGAACCAACTAAAAATTAATCAGCTCTAGTAACTGAACCCCAAATGTGTGGCACATAGCAACAGATGGAAGATGGAACCCACCTTGGTGCCTTCTAAGGCAGCAGAATAGGTAGAAACAGGTAATGAGCAGAAGCAATGCCCCCAAAGGAAGCAAACTATAAAGCATCCATTGTCTATCATCCGTCATTTCTGTGGAGGGTGGTCCTGAGGCACTGGTTGTATCTGAAATGTGAGTCAATGCTAAAGACAGTTAGGAAATTGGAGATATACTAGGATCAGTAATACCTTCTGCACTGTCACAACTTAAATGAAGATTTCCAGGTGATGCTTCTCTTTCTCCTCCAGAAGCCTTCCCCAAGAACCCTGGGCCTCAGTGTTCTCACCCACCTCTTGCTTTATTGATGAGCATATGTGGGTGGCTCTGGGTTATAATTCATCTTTTGTAAGAATTTTTTATTCTGCTAGGGTTAATCCCCTCTAAAACAATACCCAAAACAGCTCTGAGCAAGCACTTCACCAAGCTCTTTCATTGACATCGTCTTACTTAACTCTCATATTCATTCCTAAAGGAAAGTAAGGAAGCCATTATTTTTAGCCAGTTTCATGCCTTGATAAAAGTGTTATTGTTCCAAGACTTGCCCAAGGTCAGATGGCTAGTGAGTTGCTGTTGGGACTTAAGCCAACATGTTTCTGATACTAAATTCCAGTTCCTTTAACACAAAGGCTTTTTGTCGTCTCATAACTCCCCGGGATCTCCAAATACTAAGTATTTTTCTTATCTCAAGATACCTTTGTTATCACCAAATACGCTTTGCTGGACATACAGCCAGTGCTCGTTGCTATGATCAATGTTAACATGCATTAAGGTTCTGTTTGTCCATGCTAGGTTGCAATTCACCGATGAGTCATGAAACAATTTAATAGAGCACAAAAAAATTAGAAACATGAATTGCAGCGGAAGAGAAAACTAACAGAATGCATCACACATCATTAATTCTGTATATATGTTAAATTTTTTATGCAGGAAATTTTTATTTCTAAATATATTAACATCATTATCCATTTGCTTCCACATGTGCTTGGCTTGTAAAGATGGTCAGGAGATACTGAGGCTGGGCAAACAGTGGTTATGTAATTCAGAATGGTAAGAAATCCTGCATTGTTTATGCTGCAGCTGCTGCCTGGGCAAGGACAGCTGCCAAGTCATTACCAATGATGACAGACACAGCTGTCTGGGGGAAGGCTATGAATAGAAATAGGGACAAAAGTTCCCACATAGATAACCAAATACGAACAAATCCACTCAGTTAGGAAAATCCAACTTTTATTATTTCTCCGACCACCAAATAATCTAGTTTCCTTAATTTTATCCGACTAGTTTGATACTTACTTATCAGAGGGTATTCTGAATTATTTCTAGTCCATTCTGAAATAGAAAATCAAGATAAAGAAGTGAAATTGGTTGTAAAAAGAATACTCAGGCGTGTCCAGAGTCAGAGCTAATAGCTGAGGGGATGGCCACATTTACACACCAACAGAACCCAGTAACCCAGCTCACGGGAATTTGCACAATTGGCAAATCATCACCTCAGGATCACGGACACAAAATAAATCTCTGGGTTTATTTTGAGGCTTGAAGAAAGACTGTACATACAAGACAAACTTTGTCTGGTTTGATTCCTTCTTCCCCATTACTTAAGTATAAAGATAGAATACAGCCTGTGTGACACCTTCCAGCTTGGAAAAACAAGATATTCATTCAGCAGGTGCTCCAAGTGAGTGTGAGGAAAGGATGCTTCTGATGACATGCTGAGTATCATTCTGAAACAGATGGTGCCTCCCACTTCGTGCCCACTCATTCCACCCCCACTTTTCTGCTGAGAGGATGACAACCTGCCCTTGTGAATTTCCTAATGGGGGACTGACCAAGGGCAAGTTGGGGAGGATGGAGCTGCAGGTCAATGTACATTCCAGTGACTGTTTCCCAGCTGTCAACTTTTCTCCTGGAGCTTTGCTTTGCAAAGCGTTTTTTCTTCATTCTGGGAGAATATTGCTTTCCCAATAGCATCCAAGCCCTGACTCTGCCACGGCCCTGTTCTTACATGGACCAACTCTTTTTTTCTTTTCTTTTCTTTTTTTTTTTTACATGGGCCAATTCTTAACTTGACCATAAAAAGAAAAGGAGAGTCAGATACGAAAACAGGAAAATTCGCAATAGCCCCTAAAAGAGATATTTCAAGGGGAGAAAATGAAATATTTTTTATCATACTTTGACGTTGTTTTTATGAAAAGCATCATCCTTAAATATAATTTCAGATTATATTTTTCTCCTTCAGTACTCAATTCATGGAGTATTCCCAGGTACAGAAGGAAAAGGAATTTTTCTTTGACTTTTTCCCTATTATGTTGGTTTTCATCACTTCATGAAAGGAAAATACGTGCCCAGTTCAAAGCCAATTCTGAAATAATTCATTTGGAAGCAAGGATGACCCAGAAAAACATGACACAGTTTCTGCTTCCCAGGACATTATAGTTCTTCATGAGATAAAGAACATTTCCACACATTACTACAGTACAAGGAATTGTCTGATAAATAAGAGGCACAGAGCTTAAATGACATGAAATATGCTAGAAAAGAGAAATCACTTCGCTTAGGGTGAACCCTGGAAGGTTTCATGAAGAACTGGGAAATGAGCTGGGCTTGACAGGAAGGGCAGAATTGTGGTGAGTGGAGGCAGATGAATGGGTTCCCTATGAAAGGTGAGAGGACATGGTGAAGACATGCAATGGCAGATAGGGCTGTTGGGCTGGAGCAGAGACTCAAAGTGGAGTCTAGAAACAATCCAGAAAGGCAGGTGGGCATGGACTGTGGGAGGCCTTGAATACTGGTTAAATGCAAGCCCAACATTGGAAACCCTGAGGATGCTCTGCCAAAGACTCAATAGAGGAGTGGCATGATGGAAGAAATTTATTAGGCAAATTAAGTGTATTAGGAAGATATTTGGCTGAAATGGACCAAAATAGGAAACACTAAAGCCACAGAGTCCATACGGCTGATTGGAATATTTGGAAGGAAGATAATGAAGGTTTGAGATGCTCATGAAGCTAGAGCAGGGAGGCAGTCCCAGACCGAAGGTTGCCGACAGACAGGAGTAGAAGGCCAAAGAAAAGTCCTGGGGAATCCCCTTGGTCAGGAGCATTAGTTCACAAAGTGATAAGAAAGGTAGGAGAGTACGAAATTAGGCGAATAGAAATCTCCAAAGGAAAACTTAAAAGGCCCTTCATGTCTCCTATGTAGTTTTCCCTCTCACCACTCCATCTTTACCTCTCCTCTCCAGTATGATCCTAACAAGCGCATCCCCCCAGGACACAGGGATCACAGGGATGGAGGGAGAAGCTGCCCCTCTTGCTTTTCTTCTCTTCAGCCCTCTCCTCCCCAAGGGAGACAGATTGTCGATCCTAATTTTAGCCCCAACTTGATTCCTAGAACAGGCACCTTTACCACTTTACAAACTGTGCAACCATCTGTAGTGGCCATGGAATGACCCCAATATGGGACAGAGGAGACACAGTAATACCCCCTGGGACACTTCCATGTCAGAAGTATTTATTGGCTTGCCCCTGACACTGGGTGAATTCCTCTCTCTTGTACAGAAGGGTATTGGTTCCCATGAAGGAAAAGAGAATTACACAAGAAGGCAGCTTTTCCAAGGAATGTGAACTCAATGCCACTGCATTTAATTTTATTATACATTATATTAACACACATTATATAAATAATCTAATAGCATTCAATTATTGTATATTTCATCATGTAATTAATATCCTGGGAGTAATGTTTTGCAAGTTTGGCTTATTTTTATCATTTGTTTTGCCAGTTAAAAAATTAATACTTCTTTAAAAATTCAATATCTCATTATGTGAATTAATAGTGCAATTTTCTCCAGAAAGCATTCTTTCCATAATCATCAGTATAAGCTTCTCCAGATTATTAAAGGCAATTGTTTCACTTTGCATAGATTGTCGTTTAATTCATTTAAGAATTATAAAGAAATATTTATTGAGTGCCTACCATGTGCTATACACTATGCCTTCTATTTGTAGAGAAGCAAAGATGGTTAAGACACAGCTTCCTTTCCAAAGAGGTTTATAAGCCATTGCATGGATATTTGCTGGCAATTAGCATTGTCTTTGACCCCACATTTGCAAAAGCAGAGTCTCTAACTCTGCCATAAATCCCTTCTACACTTCTATGCTTCATAATAGAGGGTTGCAGCTAGCTCTAGAGTACTGTGCATTCCCTTACTAGGCTGCTTTCAGAAGTCTTAAAGTTATTTAAAAGATATTAAAGGGATTTAAATGGATTCCTTCATTGGGCTACTTTAAGGGAGTTAAAAGACTGACTCCAAAGCGTGCATATAAAGTAATAAATTAATTTTTTTAAAAACACAGTGTATGCATTCAAGTGAATGGTGTCCACAGAAGAAGTAACTGCCTAAGTCTGCATGTAGATTTCCGACATGCTGCAGTGCACCAAAGCTCTTTGAAATTTCTCTTTTGTAATAATCTTCAAGGTCAGTTTATGGGCCACAAAACAAGCTCCATCTCATTTCTTTTAATTAAAGGGTGATCTTCTTTGATCCAAGTATTTTTTTATCTTGGTGAAATACATATTAACATTACTATTATTATTTTAATCACTGAGAGCATACAATTCAGTGGTATTTAAGACATTCACAGCTGTGCAACCATCACCACTATCTAGTTTCAGAACATTTTCGTCATCCCCAAAGGAAATTCCTTACACATTAAGTAGTTACTCCCCATTACCCCTTTCTACCAGTTCCTGGCAACCATTAATTACCTTCTTTCTCTATGGATTTTTTCTATTCTGGGTATTTCATATAAACTGTCATACAGTAGTAATCTTTTTGTGTCTGGCTTCTTCTAATTAGCACTATGTTTTTGAAGTTCATCTATTTTGTAACATATATCAGTATCTCATTCCTTCTTATGTCTGAATAATATTCCTTTGTATGGATATAACACACTTTCTTTACCTATTTATCAGTTGCTGAATATGTGGATTGTTTCCACTTCTTGGTTTTTGTGAATAGTGCTGCTATAAGTATTCAAGTACAAGTTTTAATGTGGACATATACTTTCATTTCACTTGGATATTACTGGGTCTTGTGGCAACTATGTTTAACCTTTTTAAGAAACGTTGCCAGACCTTTTCCAAAGCAGCTTGATCATTTTACATTCCCACCATTGCTGGTATAAGGGTTTCAATTTGTCCACATCTTTGCCAACACTTGTAATTTTCCATTTAAAGTAAAATTCTAGTAATCCTAGTGGGTGTAATGTGGTGTCTCATTGTGATTTTGATTTGCATTCCCCTAATGACTAATGACATTGAGCATTCCTTCATGTGCTTATTGGCCATTTATATATTTTCTTTGAAGAAATGTCTATTCAGTCTTTTGCCCATTTTAATTTGGTTGCTTGTCTGTTTGTTGTTGAGTTGTAAGACTTCTTTATATATTCTGGGTACTAGTCCCTTATCAGATATATGATTTGCAAATATTTTCTTACATTCCATAGGTTGTCTTTTCATTCTTTCCATAGTGTCCTTTGATGTATAAAAGTTTTTAATTTTTATGAAGTACAATTTATTTATTTATGTATTTATGCTTTTGATGTAACAAAAAATTGACAAATCCAAGATCATGAAGATCTACTTCTATGTTTTCTGTAGGGAAACATAGTATTAAAATTTTATGCAAGCATATATTTTATTGTTTTCATTCTTATATTAAATATTTGATCCATTTTTACTTATTTTTGTATGCTGTGTGAAGTAGAGGTCCAAATTCATTCTTTTGCAATGGGTATCCAATTGTCTCAGCACCATTTAATGAAGAAACTATCCTTTTCCCATTTTAATGGTCCCAGCAGCCTTGTTAAAAGTCAACTGGTCATCTCATTGTGGTTTTGATTTATATTTCCCTGATGATGAGTGATGTTGAGTATTTTTTCATGTGTCTGTTAGCCATTTGTATGTCTTCTTTAGAGAAATGTCTATTCATTTCTTCTGCCCATTTCTTAACTGGATTATTAATTTTTTGGGTGTTGAGTTGGTAAGTTCTTTATAGATTTTAGATACTAACCCTTTATCAGATATGTCACTTGCAAATGTCTTCTCCCAATTCCTAGGCTGCCTTTTAGTTTTGTTGAGTTTCTTTTGTTGTGCAGAAGCATTTTATCTTAAACTACCTCACACCTGTCAGAATGGCCAAAATTAAAAACTCAGGAAACAACAGATGTTGGTGAGATGCAAAGAAAGAGGAACCCTCCTACACTGTTGGTGGGAATGCAAACTGGTGCAGCCACTCTGGAAAACAGTATGGAGGTTCCTCAAAAAGTTAAAAATAGAACTACCCTACATACCAGCAATCACACTACTAGGTATTTATCCAAAGGATACAAAAATTCTGATCAAAGGGTGTCCACTGACTGATGAATGGTTAAAGAAGATGTGGTATATATATAATGGAATATTACTCAGCCATCAAAAAGAATGAAATCTTTCCATTTGCAATGATGTGGTTGGAACTAGAGTGAAAGAAGTCAGTCAGAGAAAGACAAATGCCATATGATTTCATTCATATGTGGAATTTAAGAAACAAAACAGATGAACATCAGGGAAGGGAAGAAAAAATAAAATAAGGTAAAAATAGAGAGGCAAACCATTAGAGACTCTTGACTACAGAGAACAGGCTGAGGGTTGCTGGAGTGGAAGTGGGGGGGATGGGTTAAATGGATGATGGGCATTAAGGAGGACACTTGTTGTGATAAGCACTAGGTGTTATATGAAAGTGATAAATCACTAAATTCTATTCCTGAAACTAATACTACACTATATGGTAACTACCTTGAACTTAAATAAAATCTTGGAAGAAAAAAAAATGTCAATTGGCCAAAGATGTATGGATTTATTCTGGACTCTTAATTTTATTCTATTGATCTGTATATATATCTTTTGCCAGTACCACACTGTTTTGATTATTGTAGTTTTATAGCAAATTTTTAAATGAAGGAGTGTGAATCCTCCAACTTTGCTTTTCTTTTGCAAGTTTTTTTTTTTTTTTTTTTGGCTATTTGGGTCATTGCAACTGTATGTGAATTTTAGGATCAGCTTTTTCATCTATGCAAAAAAAAAAAAAAGGTTGTTGAGATTTTGATGGGAATTATATTGAACCTGTGGATCACCCTGGGAAATACTGCCATCTTAACAATTTTAAGTCTTCCAATGTGAATGGCATGTCTTTCCATTTATTTTTATCTTCTTTAATCTCTTTCAGCCATGTTTTGTTTAGTGTATAAGTCTTAAATCTCCCAGGTAAATTTATTTTATTCTTTTTGAGGCTACTATAAATAGAATTGTTTTTTTAATTTCCTTTTCAGATTGTTCATTGCTATTGTATAGAAATACCATTGATTTTTTTTTTAGCTGATCATACAACTTTGTTGATTTCATCTATTAACTCTACTAGCTTTTGTGGATTTTAGAAGTGAAACTATCTCTTCTTCCTTTCCAATTTGGATGCCTTTTATTTCTTTTTTCTTGCCTAAGTGTTCTGGCTAGAACCTCTAGTTCAGTGTTGAATAAAAGTGGCAAAAGCAGATAGCCTCTTCTTCCTGTTCTTTTTTTTTTTAAGATTTTTTTCTTTATTTATTTGAGATAGAGATAGAGAGAGAGAGAGAGAGCCAGCATGAGCAGGGGGAGGGGCAGAGGGAGAGGGAGAATCAGGCTGTGCAGGGAGCCCAATGTGGGGCTGGATGTGGGTTTGGATGTGGGGCTCAATCCCAGGACCCTGAGACCATGACCAGAGCCAAATGCAGACACCTAATCAACTGAGCCACCCAGGCTCCTCTTCTTCCTGTTCTGAGAGGAAAAGCTTTCACTCTTTTACCATGGAGTATGATGTGGGAGTTTCATAAATTAAACATATTCATTTATTTTCCTCTACTCTTCTCTGTTTGCTTTCTCTGTTTGTTTTATTCAGTTTGGTTTGGCCCAGCTTAACCTCAACCTGTTTTCCTGATGTTTGAGCCTATTGAGGGCCTCTGGGAGAGACTGGGGAGGCAGCTAAAGCTATGAACATCCTCAAAACTCATCAGGGAGTCTGGTTTCTTTGTGTGCAGTTTGTTCTCTGTGCAATCTATGAATTATTAACAAGTGTATAATTGTCTGAGCACCACAAATATAATTTCAACTTTTATCAATAAAAGTTAAGGATTGGTAAGTAGAAGAAAAAAATAAAAGGAAAAGAAGACAAAGAATAGAGAGCTGTCTACTACTATTGGTATTCACTTGGTAATTTTTTCCGTATTTCAGTGGCCTAGTATTGGATTTATCAAATAAATGCTATACCCCTTAAAGGCAAGAACAATAACTTTTATTATATTTTTTCTCTATTTTTCTCTACCTCACCCCAAAATTACACACACACTTGCTCACACAGATCCCAATCTGAGGAGTGTGGCAACTTTCCGATTTACATGACTTCAGTGTGTAACATAAATGCTTGAGAATCTGGGTCCTCCTTTTCCTTAAAACATGATGAGAAAATATGAGATAGTCTTGGTGTAGAACTCACCTGTCACATTAATGGTTACTGAGTGGCTTTCAACAAGTCCAGATGAAAAATTTGCAGAACAGCGGTATGACCCGGTGTCACCAGGCAGCATGTGATTAAAATGCAGAATAAAAACTGAAATATTCTCATTTTCATTCCAGCTTGTGTATCCCTGAAGTTTATACCCAAGAGATAAACAGCTTTTTCCTTCGAGCTTGCACCAGATCACATTAGGTCTGTTAGTACAGTATTTCACAGGGCATTTCAGATCAAATGAATTCCCTGCTGAGATAGTGTATATGGAATATCTCTTTACATACAGTTGTTCATTACATGATTTTTCCCCTGAAAGATGAAAACAAAATTAAAATCAAATATGCTCTAGAAAGACCAGATATTTGCCACTCAACAGATTCTGCCAAAGGTTTCTCAAGTATGATTTTATAATTTTCCCAGATAACATTTTTTTAAAAAGATTTTATTTATTTATTTGACAGAGAGAGAGAGAGCTCACAAGCAGGTGGAGAGGCAGAGGGAGAAGCAGGCTCCCCACCAAGCAAGGAGACCAACATGGGGTTCAATCTCAGGACCCTGGGGTTATGACCTGAGCTGAAGGCAGATACTTAACCGACTGAGCCACCCAGCCACTCCAGATAACATTTTTCAGTATATTAACCCTTACTAGCAGAGTGTCTGGTACATAGTAGGCACACGATAAGTATTTGTTGAAAAAAATAATTTCCTCAATTGTTGAATAATTTCCTCAATTTCCAAAATATTACTGACATTTTTATTATTATAAAATGTTATTTTATTTTATTATTTTGTAGCTACTCCAATGGTAGCAAATAATAATAACAATTTTTGGTCAATAATTTATTATATTTCAGGGGCTGTTCAAAACACACTAAATAGGGATGCCTGGGTGGAGCTCAGTCGGTTAAGCGTCTGTCTTCAGCTTGGGTCATGATCCTGGGGTCCTGGGATCAAGCCCCACATCGGGCTCCCTGCTCAGCAGGGAGTCTGCTTCTCCCTCTCCCAGCCTGCCTGCCACTCATGCTTTCTCTCACCCCCCTCTCTCTCTCAAATTAATAAAATCTTAAAAAAAACACTTCAAATATTTTAACCCATTTAATCTTCACAACAAAAAAATATATTATTATGACACCTATCTTACAGAGGTAGTAAAACATTTGCCTAGAGTTATATGCTAATAAATAGGGGAATTAAGACTCAAACTCATACTAGAGTTCATTACTCTGTAAATCATTAACCATTACTCTGTTATTGTTTCTTGAGTAATAATCACATTTTCTATTACTAGCTCTGATATATTCCAATAAGTGGGAGAGAGGAACTTTTGTAGACAATTATTTCCCTATTATACTTGGCATTAGAAATATTCATTACTTGTTTCACAAAGGCTTTAGTGCTGCCTTGCAATTTTTTCCATGACTTTTTCTATGTAGGACACATGCAACTCAAGATAATTGTTGGAAGATAGGATGTTCTGACATAACATAAATGTTTTGTCTTCAAAGGGGGAGGAACAGCAATGCATCTCTTTTGGAAGTTCTGTCTTTTGGCCTAACATACAGGAAGTTGCCTCCTTTTGTTTTGGTGGGGAGAGCTTCCCCCTGGAAACAGATTTTCTGTTATCGTCTATGAACCTTCTGTTAGTAATTGTCAGTTGCATATAAAATCTGCAGCCAAGAAAAAAGAACTTTTAAAATGACCTGTTACTATTGAATAAGTTCTGTTACCCTTAACTTACCATGAAAGTATTTACTTGGAAACCTCAACATCTAGGATGTAACTGTGAACCAAGATACATGAAGAAGAATTATTCCCTAAACAAGCAAAACAGATATTGCAAGAACCCAAACTCATCTGACTTTATACATAATCTTTATAATTCCATTATCATTTCCTAATTAGCTTAGAGGGCATAATTGTGTTATATAATACAGAGTAATAACTATATTCATAATGAGAAGATTGAATCAACAAACAAAACCTTCAATAAGGCTTAATATATCTATTTTTTGAAACAAAGAAGAGCTCAATCCATTTTACAAAGAATTTCATCAGAAATGGTCATGTCAAAAACCATTTTGGCTCAAAAGGGGCAAACTTCAATTACTTAGAATGTATATTTATATGGAAGTATTCATTCTTTGATATTTGTTGGATTATATTGTCCCTTTGGAGACTCATGCACATGAGCAAGAAAAATGGCACCAATTTATGACAACCACTTAATTTTTTTGTATCAGTTACATCATGAGTGTATATAAATCATAGAATATTCTACTACTGAACTGACTCCCTGTGCTGGTAAAACAATAACTACAATCAGCCAGATTCCTTTTAGTTAAGAATGCTATAGTGGTTCATACATTTTTGTTTTTCCATTAGAGCTAAGGTCTTGAGAGTGTTTTCTCTTTAAGTTCCTTTCCCTACATCCTTATGTTTGTTTGTTTTCTTGGCTGTCTTTCCCCCTTTTGAACTACCCTCTCAGCAATATATCCAATACATCCCCTTCATTAATTTCTTTCACTCATCTCCAAGCGTTCTTCTGAACAGATGTATGTCTTACATCAGCATAACTGAGGTGATAGCCTAAACTAGCTTTTAAGGACAAAGCAGGCTAAGGGCAACTCGGATGTTGAGGTGAAAGACAGCTTTTGGCCCTGCCTTGTACACGCTGCTCTACTTAGCTGAATGTTCCACTTTATTTCTACACCCTTGCCAGCATAACTATTCTCATTTTAAGCTATTTCCTAACCTCCAAAAAACCTCTCAGTATAATTTCTGCTCACATCTCATCAACCTCTGTTCAGAAACCTGATTCAGTTTCCAGGAACCAGATTGAGAACTGTGGAGAACTTTCAGAAACTTGTAAATATTTTTATATTTATAAATGCATTGAAACCTCAAACAAGTTCACTTTAAGACTTACTAATTCAGTTGCTTCCAAAAATTCAAAATAAAAATGAAAGCAAACTAAAAGCCAATTTATAAGGATGAAGTTTTCAAAAACTTGAAGAGAAAGGGTAAGGTAATTTACCAAAAGGAAGTGCCTAACAATATAACACCTGGATGTGGTTAGACTTGCAACAAGAAAGCGAAGAGGCCAGAGGCTGAAAAGCCAAGTGAAACTCACATTTCCAGAACTCCATTCCTCCCCCTGAAGTTAATAGACTACCTCAGCCTCCTAACTTTGCTTTTCATATACCTGGATCTAGATAAGTCAGTCAGAGGTTATGGAGCCTAGAACTAACTCAGTGCCAACATTGTGGAAAACAACAAGATGGTTGTAGAAAAGGCCTTCCTGCCCTCAAGGAGCTTAGCATTTAATTGATGAGATGAGAGTAACTAACATAGCTACTTTCCCAGAATAAATTTACTATCTACCTTACCACTCTTTTTATCTTCAAATTCATCTGAGCTGAAAACAGGGCTCAGAGGGACCCTGGAAGTCCTCGTATGTTAATTGTTAGGGGGAGGTATAGAAATAAATAAGACAAGGTATCTTCCTTCAAGGGGCTTGCTTTCCAATGGGAAATAAAAATGCTTGACAGATGGGAGAATGAAATAACACTATAAAGAGGTGCAGACTTTGTTTGGGTGTGCAGAGGATTAACCTCAGCTGGGACTATTGGGACAAGGCTTAATGGAAAAGTTATATTTGAGCTGAACAGTAGTGAACGAGTAACCCTTCGATAATCAGAGCAGTTAAAGGGACAGGGGAGGTATTTTAAGACTGAGCACATGGAAGGGCAAAGGCAGAGAAGGAGGAATCTCATGGCAGATTCAGGGAATTGATACACACTTGGATCATGGGTTTCTCACATAGTGACGTGGAGACCACAGGTTGTTTCAGAATAAATGCAGTAAGCATTAAATGGGCCATGTTTAAACTCCACTTATTCACCACGAGAAAATACAGAGTCTGATTCTTCTGGGATATCTATAAAAGTCATGTAAATACCTAAAAACTAGAATAACCGTTCAGACATGGTTGCTCAAATACTCTCAAATACTAACATATTGTGTGATGTTGAGAAAGCTACCCAGTCTCCCTGGACCTCAATCTCTGTAAAACAGGATGAAAACAGGAAAATCCTTACCCACCATCCTCCCCTACACAAACACATCCACAACTTTACCTCCCTCAGTGTGTGACTGACACGATAACACCAGCTCTAAGTCTATGTTGCCTTTCCATTTAGCCATCAGGCTGTCACCCAATGCTAGTAGCCCAAGTGAACATCTCTTCTAGTCCCAGCCTATGTGGCTATGTGCATGGGGGGAGTGCACAGAGCAGGGTTAGGAGAGGAGGAGAGCCAGCTGATGGTCCTGACCACATCACTGACTCCCAGTGTCGTTGTGGAAACATCACTGGGGTTCCTGCATATTCTTATCCGCAGGGTGAGGATCACCGGCTACCACATTGGCTGGACAGGGATTTTTCTTGAATGGGGGAATGAATAGATTAATGCAGTCTTGCCAACAGGCATTAAAAGTCATCAAGAGGACTCGCTCTTTGTTCAAAGAGCGTATTAACACTTCCCATCCCCTTGAGACTCAAACGGATGTTTGTAGCTCAGGAAAGCTACACAGAACTAAGTGGCACAATTTGAATTCTCCATCAGACATCCATGTTGACACTTCGCTCATCCTGAATCACGCATGGCTGTTTCATGACATTCAGGAAATCAAAAGCTGTCCCTGGGGGGTTTGTCTTGTAAAAAAAGCATTTTCTAAACAGAGGTGAGGAACACAGTTGCTTTTGGATGGAATGTATCCGCCAACGTTAGTTTTTCCTGCTGTTATTCTCAAACATTCATAGCTAATGGTGGGGAATTTTCAATGTCAAAAATAATTCAAATAAACATATTCAGTAAAAGGATGAAACCTCTACCATCCTCTGGCTTTTGTATGATGAAGTATCTCTTTTTAAGTCACTAGAGGTTTCAGAAGACTTATAGTTTTTTTTTTTTTTTAAGATTGTATTTATTTATTTGAGAGGGAGAGAGAGATCTCCAGCGAGGTGAGGGGTGAAGGGAGAAGCAGACTCCCGCTGAGCAGGGAGCCCGATGCAGGGCTCAATCCCGGGACCCAGGATCATAACCTGAGACGAAAGCAGACGCTTAACTGACTGAGCCACCCAGGTGCCCTGGAAGACTTACATTTTATAAATCTTTATGAAAGCCATGACTGTGTATTATAGCATGCATATTCCATGACTAGGGTATACCTAGCATATTTGATGCCCAGAGTGCACCATTTCTAGCAACCCCCCTCCTCTATATGGAAAAATGTTTTCAGAGATCATGAGT